CCACCTCTTGGGTGTGCTCCAGTCTTGAGTAAACACTTCAACAACACCGAGGAGGTCCCTGCCTCTCAGGCAGCACGAGCCAAAGTGATAAAAATTGAAATAAAACTCCCAAAACGAAGGCAGAGAAAAGAGGAGGAAAATGCCGTGAGGCCCAAAGGGCTAAGGATGTGGGTACTGCTGTGCTTAGTTGTCTTCTTCCTTGCCCCACAAGGAGGAATGTTGTTGGGACAGCATTGCTGTCTTTTGGATTGTTACTGGTTGGGTTTTTTAATAATAATACTTTTTTCTTCCCACAAAGCCAACAGGCAAGTAACATAAAGCAAGTGGAACTGCGGTTCTGAAGCCGGGAAGGTCGGAGATGATCCCTGGCTGCAAAATCCAGCTCTGGGTTTTGAACTCCCAGTGTAGCAGAAGGCCGTGGAGGCCTTCAGCTGGGATGGGTCTGCTGTGTGCAGAGGGGGTGAGTGGCCAACTTCAGAGTCAGGTTCAAGTTTGGATTCTGAAACACACCTCCCTCACAGAAAGTTCAGGGTCATTCCCAGAGGCTCAGGAGGGAAGAGCCAATTCCAGCCCTTCTCCTCTAACAATTCATCTGAGCACCTAATGAGGAAAGCTGTCTTCTTTGTGATGACAGTTAAATATGTGCTCAGGCTCATTCCTCAGTCAAAGGTCTACATTATATTGGGTTTAAATTATTTCTGTACTGTGGTTGCACCCTGATTTCACAAACCTTGCAGGCTATCCTGGATTGGAACACGGGGAGAACTTCTAAAGACTGTTGAATTAAAGCAGGTAGATGTCTTCTCACAACCTGCAACCTTGTTTCCGTTTTCAGCCTTGAATCTGCACCATTGACTTGTCTACAGGGACATGAGAGGCTGGAAACATCTGGGAAGGACACATAAAACAAAAGCTTTGAGCTCCAATAATCACAGCAAATCTGTGATTTCCTTGTTTTGAAAGCTGGAATTCTCCCCAAACCCATGGGCTGAGTGGACCATCCATCAGGTTGTTGGAAAGGAAGCAGTTAGGATTTGATCAATATTTCAAGCAAATCAGGGAGGTCAATTAAAAGTGAACTCTTAGAGCGTGTTCACATCATGGGTTCTCTGCAAAAGAGATTGCTCCAAGCTCTTGAGCCAGGAGAAAGCATTACAAGTCAGTCATTCCTTCTCATCCTCATGGCCACCATGGGCATAAATTTGAAGGGCATTTCAAGGAAATGGAGCTGGTACAGACAAAGGAACCCCAGAGTCTGTGATTGACTCAGGTCAGTGAAAGGAGTGCAGTTACTGGGTAGGAAATAGGGTCCATGAAGTATGTGGGGATTTCAGACACTGGGATTTTTTGCAACATTTATTGGAACAGACAGGCTAAGAGCACTGAGGGATAAAGGATCCCAAATCAAACAGCCTAATTGGTCTCAAATGGAGTGACTAAGGAACTCTCTCTGTTCCAAAATGGGTCAAGTTGCATTTTAGAAGGAGATCTCTGAAATTTGAGTGGGAGGCCTGGATAGGAAAACGAATGGATGAACTCATAATTGACATGGATTCCATTATGGCTAATACCTGTGTCAGAGCTGCCACCGAATATGGCCTGCAAATCCAGTCTGGGGGAATTCCCTTTAGAGATGTGACCCAGGTGAAGCAGACTATTTGCCATGAGCCTGTGCGGAACTGAGACTTTAATTGCAAACATATGGCTGGGTAACTTTACAGCAAGTGAAAACTGGGGGATAGATAGAGACCTGCTCTGAAACAGATGATCCAGGAAGGCTTTCACTGTCTCCAGTGATGGGTTTCTGTGCTCTCATATCACTTTATGCTGAACAGAAAACTGTAAAGAAAGGAAACATGATGCAAAATACAACGTTGGCACAAAGAGCCCTGTGAGTTTAGGAAGAATGATGGTGAAATTAAGTTCCCTGCGATTTTACTTTGACACGTTTCCCTGTTTGTGTCTTTTAAAAGGCAGCAGTATGATCTCCAGCTTTCTCCTGTCCTGGAGATGTGTCGTGAGCAGTTGTGCCTGGGGCCAGTTCCAACCTGAGAAGGTGGCCTGAAGAACAAGATCATCACTCATTTGTGATGGGGACCAGTGTGCTTGAATTGCCTGTCCTGGTGTTGAGTAGGCAGGGGGAGTGCACTGCAGCAAGGGCGTGGACACCAGCTCCTGGATCTGATTGATTCCACGGACAATAGGGAACACCTCTCCCCCCACATCCAGGATGAGGATCAGCAAGGTGGATGAGCATAGGTCATAGAGGACCAAGAGCCCAAGCTCAAAGCCAGCTCCCATGGGAAGTGGGGAAGGGCCCTGTAAAGGCTGCTCATCAGTATTTGCCATTGTTTTTCACAGCACTGTGATCCCAGTAGCACTGTGTCAGAGCTGGCCTGTAGCACAGGCAGCCAAATCCCAAGGAAAGGGGAGAGGCTGCAGAGCTTTCAGTGCACTGAAGGCCTTGGGAAGGCAGACTGAGTGTTTCATCTTGTCTGTTGCTCTCTCTCCTGACTGTCCTGAAGGTTTTCCATGCTTTGCAGAATGTCTTTAATACTAGGAAGTGCATGTGTGTTCATGCTTTCATCTGGCACCTGGAAGCTTGTCTTTATGCATAATGAGAAGAACTATTGTCTGTGTGGCTGGGAAGGAGCTGAGGGGAACCTGGGCTGGCATCCATCCCAAGAACAGAAGGGATGAGCTCAAGGGAGTTTTCTTCTCTGAAAGTGTTTTTGTTTGTCAGGTGACCTTGAGAGAAAAAGAACTTAGCAAGGCAAAGAGTTCCTTTGTGGCTAGAACAGGAACTAGCTGGGTCAGTGGAGTTTTGCTAGGTTGCACAGCATCTTCTGAGTCCTGGCTTGGGAGAAGCAGCTCCTTTGTGTTGCAGATGGACTGTCCATGGAGAACTTGGGCTTTTGCAGCACTGGAGGAGTTTGACTCCTGAGTTTTGGAGGCCTAAATTCTAGAGGGAATTGAGGAAGGCCTGTACTTGCAGTGGAGAAGGGATTTCTCCTTCGTTGAGCAGGCATCCAAGTAAGGTGAGCAACACCTCAAATGTCAGCTGGGAGGTTGGCTTTTGGAAGAGGACCAAAGATGAGGTTGAACAAATATGGCAACCTGGTTTTGTATCCATAAGTGCACTTTTCCATGTGACCTAAACATTAAGGTTTGAGGAGGCAAAGATGGTAAGTAACTTACAGACTAATTGCTGCTTTGTGATGATTAGCAGTTCACGTGGACCAAAGCACCAATTTTGGTCAGGATAATTTTTTTAAAAGCAATGTCTGGAACATCTGTGGCAAAGGCTCTGGTTGTGCCGTGTAGTCCCGAGAATGAAACCAAGAAAAGTTGGGTCTGCAAAAACGGAGGCATTTCACAGTAAATATTCCCTAAACCAGTGACCACATGTCTGAAAAGGAAGATTTATGCAAAATGGGAAGGGAAGTTGCATAACAGCACTCTGTAATAAAATAAAAACAGTGATGTATGCACACATGGACACACACACTCGTTCCAGATAAGATCAAATATCCAACACTCCAAAGCTGAAACACTTCTATTTACTTTTCTCCTTATGGCTATGATATATAATTTTTCTTGGACTGACAGTTCCAGGCAGAAGTGCTGTAGACAATTCTATTAGCCACTGCTGGGGGTGAGTTCTCTACTTTGGCTATACCAGTGGATGTATCCCAGGTCTTTCCTGCCTCTAACTCTTCTTGCATATCCTGGTCCTCCATTCCCTCAAGTCCTGCTCTCTTTGCTTGATGCATCCCTTTCCAGGACACTGGAATGCATCTCCACTTAAATGTTCTGTTGTCAGTGATTTTAGCAGATAACACAGAGGTAGAGATTGGAACAGAACAATGGTGGGATCTGTTGGAAGGGAGGAAATGCAGAAAGGAGAGAGAAAAGGAGGCAAAAAGATAGAAGTGGAAGAGAAGTGAAAAGGGGGAGGTGAAGAAAGAAGAGAAAGGAGAGCAAGGATCCGAAAGAATGACAAATTACTCCTCTGAGCTGTGTTATATACTGCATAATTTACAGTAAATTGAAATATTGTTAATCTATAAAGGCTGTATTGTTCTGTTTTTCTCTTGGCCAACTACTGCTGACGTGAGCAGCTCTGGGCTGAAGAAGTGGAGAGCCTTGAAGAGAGGCTGGTGCCGAGACTGGAGCTGGAAATGGGATTTGGCCTCTGCTACATAAAGACTTCGAGGACTCAGGCTTAGAGGAACCCAGGGAATGTGAGGCTGTTGGGCAAGCTTCTGGAGCTTTTAGTTAGTGCTTCTTCTACAAAAGCTAATAAAAAATGCATCTTTAAATCTTGTCCAGGAAGATCTCAGAGCTCTCCTGCAGAGTTAATATGCCTAACAGAGACAGCTTAGTCATTATAGGATAAGGCATAGTCGTGCCAGGAGTTCATATATCCTGCAGGCTTACTCCGTGATATGTATAAATGTATGTGTGTGGTTATATGTGTGTGTGTGAGTGTGTGAGTGTGTATAAGCTTATGCAGGTATCTGTTTTCTCCCAATAATTCAGTAACTCTGCCTGCAGCTTTGCAGACTCCAGGATCCTGGCCAGCCGGAGCAGGAGAGGCTGCCAAGTCCGTCAGGTTGATGGAGCCAGCAGGCTGCTCCACCTGACTGTCTGGAAGCATTCTTTTGCTCTCTTGGGAGGTTCCCAGCACATCTCCATTTCCTCTGAAAGAAGGCTCACCCACGACTGCCAGCATCCATGTCAGGGCTTCTTTCCGTGGGTGCTGCGGCTGCAAAACCCAGAGATCTGTGCCCCTCCTTAGCACTGTTTTAGCCATCTCCCAGCTGCACAAGTCCTGAAAATCTCCAAAATGTAGCTCATGAAGCAGGTGAAAAGACACAGGCTCTTGGCTTGTTCATAGCTTCTTTATAGGGATAGAGGGGATGGTCTTATTAGGAATTCTGTATATCTCACAACCCGGTGAAGACAGTAACAAAACATATTTTTCTGTTCTTTTAAAGGAGAACTTCCTTGTCAACAACTGAGAAGATTCTGAAGAACTCAAAGGTATGTGAGGAGGTAACAAGGGGACAGCTAAAATGTATATTATTGTTCAGTTTCTGTGCTAATCTCAAGAGTGATCATTCTGAGAAGGTAAATTCTTTGCTCACAAGTCTTTGGTATTCAGGTGCCCTGCGGGAGCAATGCAAAGACACAGGAAAGATTTTCACCACTTGATCTCAGCATGTGGCTCTCATCTGGTGCTGTGCTCTGTCTGCTCCTTGCCTGGGACAATGTCAGAACAAGTGGGGTTTTCAAAAGTGATCTGTATAGGGGAGAGTAAACACATTCCTGTTTTCCTTCCTGCCCAAACTGAACAGATTTCTCCAGCTGCATCTCCCCTTCTGGGTCCTCCTTCCAAGTAGAGGGGAAGGATGGTTTTTCACAAGACTTGGAAGCAGCACAGCACTTGCATTGACAGGTCTGTAGCCCTGCCCTGCTGTTTCACTGCCTAATGGACAGTGTTGTCTCTCCCTGTGTTTGAGGCTCGTTTTACACCTGGAAGTGCCATCCTCAGTGCGTGCACAGCAGTGAGGTAGAGCCCTGAAATGCGAGTGGGGGACAGCAGAGAGGTGGGAAAAAAGCACCAGCAACCAGCCCAGGATGTTCAGTGAATCCATGAGTAGGTACCCTCAGCATGTGCTTGTGAAAAGGGCAGTGCAATAGCAGAGTAGCCTCAGTGGTTCTGGCTCACTCAGGTCTCTTCTACCTGTCTCTTCTACTTGACATTAATGTGTGAGGTGTTCACCCTGCTCGGGAAGTCCATCACTTTTTGTTCAGCTCACTGTAGCTTGTCATACAGAAAAAGATAGGCAATCCATGCTCTTCTGCTCTGAGGCTCCCAAACCATGGCAAAGAACCTGACAACCTTCTTTATGCCTTTTGGAGCACTTACACTTGTATTGTTCAACTTTGAATAGAGAGTTTTTAAAAATAGTTGCTTCACCAGACCAACAGACTTTTATAACCTTGCCAGCCAACCATGGATCAAGGGTGGGAAGTGCTGTTTTGACCAAAAAGGTGTCAACTTTTATTCTTTTCTCTTTGGGTTTCTTTTTTTACTTATAACAAGAATTCAGGTAAAGAAGAACTGCATGTAAAAAGGAGGTGAGGATTAGTGGAGAAGCAAATGGAAGACTTTTTGTTTGCTTATGTGGAAAGGGAGAAAAATGAAACAGAAACATGGGAGGTCTTCAGTGTAATGAATAATAATAATTTCAAACATATTTTCTGAGACTTGAACAGTATTTATATGCAAATACTATCTCAGAAGGTAGTGGAAAAAAACCAGTTTTCCTAATATTGGCTAGGAAACAAAATTTGCAGTTCTGGAAGACTTGCCATTTCCATAGGAACCAGATGAGATGAAGTAGAAAGACTTAACAGAGGTGATTAAAAAGTATTTTATACTGAAAACAAACTTTCTAGCTGAATGACATAAATTACATTTAAGGGACCAAATGTCTTTCTAGCAAGTTTTAAAAAAACATGCCAGTATCTGCCCTGTGGTAACTGTGTGTTAGAAAGCCTTGGAGAGCAACGAGCTCAGCTGCAGAGCACACCCTTGGAGGAACCCCATCTTTGGGTGGCACTCTGAGTTGGTGTAAATCTAGTTTATGCTACCAGAATTCTGGGGTTCTGTAAATATTTAAATACATGCAAAACACCCCTGCTGTGCTTCATAAATCAAGAAAGGATCTTCACTAATTGACCCCGTTCTGAACAGAGGTTGGAGGTGAGTGATGTGGGCAGAATGCTTCATCCCACTGTTTGGTGTTTGGGAATTTTAACAAGAGAAATAATTATGGATGATATCCTACATTAAAGGCTTGCCTAATTGTGCGTTTTGTTTTAGTTATTTTAGCAGTAATAATTCTGTGGTTTCTGTACTCACCTTCCCAAAGAAGGGAGCCATCACAAACAAATGAGCTGCTTCCTTTGCAGTGCTATTTCTGTTTTGGTTTATTAGTGAGCTAAAAAACAGCTTTGATCTACCCTCCAGATTGATGTGTTATGAGATATTTTCATCAAACTCTGCCCTCAATTGAACTCATATTAATCTCAGTAAAATTAATGCAGATATATGTTCTTAGAGGTTTCTGGACAGTCAGATGGGATCTTGCAGTCAGATCTAGCTGGTGTGAGTTCAGTGGACATCACTGCAGGGACAGAGACCTATCTATAGGAAATCCATTGCAGGATTGGGGCATAAGAGCAAATGCATTTGTCTTGAAGCACAATTAATGCGTGGCTAAAGTCTGCCTGTATGTGTTGGTCCTTCTCCCATTGATGGCAAAACTCCCATGGAATTCAGCAAAGTGAGATGGAATCTATACAGAAATTATTTTTCCCAGAACAACTTTTCAATAACCAGTGGATTTGCAAACTCCTCACTCTGACACATTGAAATAATTTGGGACTTTCATTCCATTTTGCTTTAATTGGACTTACACTACATCTGACTCTTCCTAAGTGGGTTGCTATGCCTAAAATATGTGCAGGCATGTTTGCACTCTCTGAGGGAACATGGAGGTTAAACTGGAAGGCGAGGTTATGTTAGCAAGGATATTTTCTTTTTATACTGCTTCCAAAGGCAACCCTGTTTTGGGCTCACCACTCTGCCTTGACCGCTCTGTGCCTCTCCATACCAAATCATGCTGGGATTTGATGATAAAGCACATCCTCTTTCCAGGAGCCAAGCCAAGCCCTACATCCTAACTCACTGGTGTTCTGGTACCTTAGGCACTTTGTGGTTAGAAGGCAGACTGCAAGTGTGGGTATGTCCAAACCCTCTGGAGGAAGGGAAGAAATTTCTTACAGAGCTGCTGTTGCCCATTTGATTCCCAGTTCCTTTGTTTTAGTGTTTCTTGGGCTGTGCCAGCTGAGACAGCTCTTAGCTGGAGACCAGCACTTGCAGGGCCTGATTTGGTTCACGTCTTCTATAAAAGTTTTCCATCTCTGACCAAGGTATTTCACATCAGGGTAAAAATGTGAGTAAATCAGAGCTGGCATCTATCCCAGACATATCAATTCCCTTAATTCCCTTTTTCCTGTGGCTTTGGGACAATCAAAATAGGGAATGTTTCCATTGCTATACCTTTATGAAAGTACAATATGTGAAGGCCATATCCTGAGTGCATCCAGCCTGTTCCCTTCCCTTGGTCGTTACCAACTGCACAGCTTTCCCTGGCAATTATGTGAAACGGAGCACTGCAGTGGAGTAAATCTTTTGGCAGGGCTTGGCTCCAGGGAAGATCAAAACCCCCAGCGTGACAGCTAATGAAACAAGGAGAAAGAAGATGGAAGCCATCAGTCCCAGGCGGCCAACACTAACACGGTCCGAAGGCAGTGGGAGGTGCCAAGGTGTCTGCTTGCGAAATTTGGAGACAGCTGGGGGAGCTGGGAGAGAGGGCTGCACTGAGGCCAGTTTTCCTGGCAGGAAAAGCCGTTCACGACAACAGAGGAGCAGTGGAGACAACTCATCCTCTCTGAGAGGACACATACTGTCTTTTTTAAGACACAGGACAAACTGGCATTATTCTGCATCCCTGGGGCAGTGGTTCTTTGCCATGGAGCTGACCTGGGTGGAGTACACAGAGCATGGCCTGGATCCAGGGGTATACACTGAATGCACAAGAATTGCCAGGACAGGGTGGCATGAACGGAGCTGTGCAGAGCACCTGGTCCCCAGGGGTGGCAACTTCAGTGGGTAAAGGAGTTAAAGTCAGAACTTCTGCTGCAGCTTGAGCCAGAAGGCAGAGCAGAGTCAGGGCTGCCTGTAACGAGCCTGTTTATCTCTAAAGAAGTGTTTCTCAGACTCTGATCCACAGGCCTTTGGTGGTCAATAAAACATCCAGCAGTGGCTCATGAAACAATAGTAAACCCTCTCTCCTCCCCCCTGACAGCCACAGAAGCAAGGACACAAACAAAATGGGAGGAAATAAGAGCTACTATAGATTAACTTTGATTCTGTGAACTTTCAAATATTAGTCTTTTGTTTATTTGATTTGATATATGAAAAATATACAAGTTGGTCTTCAGATTATTTTTTTTTTATCTGAAAAAAAGGTTAATCCTTGGACTTGAGAAGTTTGAGAAATGTGGCTCTGAGGGTGCTATTTTTGGAGCCAATTACAACAGCATTGAAATGTTGAAAGATTCCTTTTGTTTGTTGAAAGATTAGGCTGAAGCCCTTCAGTCTATAAAAGAATAATAAACCCTAGCAGGATAAAATCCTTCATTGCAATGAGGATACAAAAGCCACCTCAGAGTGATACGTGGCCTGGGCAGAGGCACAGGGCTGAGAGGGCTGGCACTGACAATTACTAGAGCTATCAGTGCCCAGAAAGAAAGACTGAGCACTTGCTTCATTCAGCTTATACAATCTCATCCTCCACCTCCTGCCATCATCTAGAGCTGGTTCAGTAGCGTTTGCAAAATGAGGTGCACTTACACAGTCCCTGTTAGTGTCCTGCAGTCTTGTATAATCTGCTCTGAAATGAGCTGTTAGAATTAAAGGATTGGCAAATTCACATTTCCTGAAATCCTGGAGTGGAAAGGAGCTCTAAGTGACCTTCTCTGCCTTGCCAGTATTGTCATCTGGGCTTTTTTGGGCTTGGGGACCAGGCAGTGTTCATCTTGCAACTGAGTAGAGTTTGCTTTTCAGATAATCCCACTTTGGCAAGCGTAGTTTCTGGATTATTAGTAAACCACCTTGTGAGTGTTATGTAGCTGTGCCTGCCTCTGATTTTGTGCATATCCTGCACGTGCAGGAGGGTGTGGCTGACATGAGGAGCTTTCCAAGGGAATGGTAGGATTGAGGAGAGCTAGGCAGTCCAAAGTGCAGAGACTAACTGGGAGAATAAAGCTGCAGGTAAAGACCAGGCATGCCTTCGTCTTGTCTGCCTGAGGCAACACAAATTCAGCAGTGTCAAGGAGTAGGGGGTATGTGTGACACAAACAGCAGGTGACAACAGTGTCCTGGGTTATGGGCTGAGAACCACTTG